AGACTGTTCTCAGTGGTGACAGGTGACAGAACAGGGAGCAGTGGTCTCAAGTTGCAGCAAGGGAGGGCTGGATATTAGGAAAAACCCTCTCAGTAGGATAGTTGTGAAGCACTGGAATGGGTTACCTAGAGAGGTGGTGGAATCTCCATCCTGGGTGGTTTTTAAGGCCCGGCTTGACAAAGACCTGCCTGGAATAATTTAATTGGGGATGGTTCTGCTTTGAGCAGGGGGTTGGACTAGATGACCTCCTATGGTCCCTTCCAAACCTAATTTTCTGATTCTATGGCGTGGGAGTGAGGGGTAACAGCATGGGCAAGGGCAGGGCACTAGCATATTAGGGCTGCTCAGGGCCACAATGCAGCAGGCGAGACAGCCACAGCTGGACCTAAGTCCTGGTCAGCCAAGGGAGCAGGGTGAGCTCCGATTTTCCATGATAAAAAAACCCCAAAAATTAAATGCCAAAATATGTCGGCATTTAAAATTTATTATAATGACTGAGGCACTGGTAGGCTTCCAAATTGCTTTAAAATTATAAATATATCAATAAAACATTGTGTTCAACTAATAGCTATATATAGTGGCATTTCATTTTAACCATGGAAAAATGAGGATTTTATAGGGTTTAAAATCAGAGAATTTGGGATTTTTAAACCATGATCCCTGTTTATCATACCTCGAGCTGAGGGAAAAAGCAAGAAATGATGAGCCTGAGAGGTAGTTTCTTTAAAAAAGTAGGCTCCAACTCTAATTTCATTCAAATAATTGGAAAAAACACACAGTCTAGATTAAGGCAATTGATCAAGCATCTCTAAATTGTCCCACGTTACCATCAGAAACACTTGTCTCAGTCCCAAAATGGAAGAGTCATCTTTAGGCATGAGAGAATAGTTTATTCTCTCTGACAACTCACATTTCTTCTCCAACAAGACTGCTGAACAAAAGAGTGGGCTTCTTTATGAAACAGACATTTGCCTGCTAGGATATGAACTGACTAAACCCAAACATTTCTCTTCAATATTTAAAAATTAGAATTTCAGATCCTCCACCTGTTAAAAAAAAAAAAATCAGGTGATTTGCTTTTCTCCTAAAGAAGTCCAAAACAGAAGCCAGCAATGGAGTGACCAAGGCAGTACACATTCTCCCCCTCACATGCACACAGTATTAACCGAATACCTCAAGTGCTGCCAAATTTATGGCACAGGTGCACTGACAGAGATTTCTTGGGCCAATACTGATGACCAATTTTTAACAAGCCACGTTGGTTGATGCTGATCCGATTGTTGATATGTGGCCAGGCAGCTTGGAGAGGAGTGTCCAGCTGCTAAGTCTGTTGTGGGGGAAAAGGCAAGGGGGCAGGCAGATGGAGGCCTCCGCGGTAAGGGATGGAGAGGAGCTGGGGCAGGGGCAGGCGCTGCACAGCCGGGGCAGGGCACAAAACAGAGCCATGGCTTGTCCACTGGGTGCGGGTGGCTCCCACCACTGCTTACACCCCAGGAGGGCATGGGGGGGGGCACATGCCCCACAATCTGTGTGCAGGGTGAGGGCAGGCTGCCATTGGTATTGAGCTCTTCCCAGTGGAGGCGCTGGGTCAGGGCCGCACTTGGGGCAGGTGGCGGCAGTGCTGCTATGGGGGGGGCTATGGTGAATTTTGAGGTAGCTGCAGCTCCCTCGTACCTCCTCCTCCGAACACTGCCTCCACCCACCCCAAACACAGCCCAGCCCAGCCCAGCCCTTCCCCAGCCTGCCCTCACCCTGCACGCAGCTCTGGGGGGCACACACCCCCTGTGCCCTCCTGGGGTACATGCAGCAGTGGGAGCTGTGCCCCCCAGACAAACCGCAGCTCTGTCCCGTGCTCCGCCCCGGCTGTACAGCACCTGGCCCTGCCCCAGGCCCACTCCCTCTCTTACTGCGGGGCCTCAATCTGCACCCCTCCACAACGCTCCTTCCCTCCCAGCATAACAGACATACGAGGTGGACACTGCTCTCCAAGTTGCTAGGCTGCACTCTTGGCTGCCTGCGTGCTGTGCTGCGGCTGGTCGCATGCACATGGCATTTACTGGCAACATTACTGGCCACATCACCTAAAAAAACCTGGTTGCTGATAATGTCAATTTTCCTTATATTGGTGTCGATATGATATGGGACTGATGTATTGGTGCACCTCTAATTTGTAGGCCTTCAGCATGTGCTACAAGGGCATCTTTCCTCCTAGGCCCAAAGGGAAAAAGGTGAAATTAGGTGACACTGGTGACTTTGTGTGTCTATTACACTGTGGTTTTTATTTGCGTTGTTGTTAGCAGGCAGTTGCCAGTTTGTGATGAAAGGTATTTCTAAGAGATAGCCAAGGTCACCCAGCTTGTGGAACAGACACTTCTTTGGGGCACTACTATAAAGAGAACACTAGCCCACAACACAACTACTGCTATGCTGCTGGCTCTCTCAACACAAGGCTGCTTACATGAAACGAATGAACAAAGAACTAAGTCCACAAGCAACAAAAATGAGGCCAAACCAATGATCAAGGCTTATGATATTTACATAAGACTAGGTTAGAACGCCTGTCTCCATGGATGGAATTCCTTTACATCAGAGGTGTCAAAAATGCAGCCCATGGGCCACATCAAGCCCACAGAGCCCCATCATCTGGGCCCCAGTGCTGCCACTGAGTTGAGATGACCCACTGCCATGAGGTGCCTGCATGGGATGTTCTGGGGCAGATGCTACATGCAGTTTGGTCCCAGACGGGCCGGAGTGGATGCTGTACGTGTCCTCAACCAGGTCCACACAGGCATCACATGCAGTGCAATCCCAGACTGACCAGAGCAAATGCTGAATATCCTGGATACATTCTGCAGGGCAGTGGAGGGTGGGGGTAAGGGAATGGGTCCATGGGACCACTGCCATGCACCATTCATCCAACCTATGGGCCAACCCTGCACCACTCATCCAGCCCACAGAACTAGATGAGTTTGACACTCCTGCTCTACATGAACCCACAGTGCCCTCTTGGCTGCATTAAGACTTTCAGGTCCACTCTGGACATGGGAACCCAGAATCCCATTGGAATTAATATAAATTTGTACCTCATGTATTCCGACTAATCTAGATATAAGGCCCATGAGCATCATCTTCACTTCAAATCTTTCCTTAGAGCTCTCTAGCTGCTTTAGCAGTTTCTCTGCAAAGTCTGAAAGAAACATGAAAACTCAGAGGTAAGTAATAATGTTGGGGATTGAAGGGCCACCAAGTACAATGCATCTCATTCCCAGGCCCCAAGAGATTCTGTAGAATAAACAGCCCCAAAGAATTAAGTAGTCAACTGCTCTTTTGATTTTCTAAAGCTTGGGTGGGTCTTCATACAAAATATGAACTGGGTACCACACCAGAATGGCGAGAACAAAAATTGCTAAAAAATGCCTGAAACTGGGGCAAGAAAGGCTACCAACAAATGAGATAAATGTATTTTCTGAGGGACAGTGTGGAGGTTGACAGCTGCACAGCCCAGGAGGCTGGGGGGAACAGAACAATGCATGCTGGGATGCTGCATGGCAGTATGGAGTCTTCTACTGGAGAAGTAAGCATATAAGCATTCATTTCTTTGGTACCAGCTCTATTGGAGGCCAATTCTACTTTGGTCAGAGGAGGAAGAAGTACAGGATCCACATTTTTGGTTTGGCTGAAACTGGTTGAACACTTGTACCCTTTGAGTTTCTACGGGTGGAACTGTGATTCCACTGGTTGAAATTCAATGCTTGTATGCTCCCATCACAAAGTTTTGCCTGAACATCAGGACCTGGGATTTAACACAAGTATTAACATTTCCAAGGCAAATATAGCTTGAGAGAACTTACTTGGATATTGGGCTTACCTTGGGGATCATGGATCAAGTGAATAGCAGAGAAGTTGAACACCTCTGGCTTTTTCTTCTTCTTATGTTTCTATTGGACATGAAAAGGATATTTTTCTTTACCATGGAAGATTTGCAGGTGAGTTAATTTCAGAAAAAGCTGCCATTTCACTTAACCTCCCTGGAACAGGAAAACCTTATCCATATTTTAACCTTTCTTAAGAAATAAGGCTTTCAGCTCTAGGAGTCCTCTTAAAGACAGAACAAATAGCATACCTAAAGCCCTGTTCAAATTCTTAAAACACACACAATAGAGATCATAATTCTCAACCCACCACTTGGATTTGTGGAGCAGTAATTCAGACAAATGGACAAAATTCTGCATAATTACAGTATATCCCGAGGATGGAGGTCAGTCCAGGCAGAATCCACCCACAATCTAAGTTGGATGAGCCAGTTTTAAATGAGTGGCTTTCCAGGTAACTGTCTGCTCTGACAGCAAAGTGAGTTTCATCTTAAAAACATGATGAAGGGCAGCCATTCCAAAAAGGGACAGAAGGAAGGAATACAACTCCCAGGCTTGAAGGGCTCACATGAGTAAATGAATGGAGATGAGAACTTGACACAGATTAATGGTCTCAAAAAAGGATGTTGTCCAGAGAAGCCTGATTCAATTGCTCACTTCATTCTTAATCTGAGCATCCTTCAATTCATAATCATCTTTAGAAGTGCGGAGTTTTTCCCTTCTTCAAGCCACTGCTAGTAACTTTATGTTTAGATTCTGCTATGAATGGACCTTTCAGCATCACCCTGGCACTGGAGCTTCCCTTACCTTTAAAACCTTCATGGCTTTCTCTAACCGCTTCTTGTGCTTGGTGGTCTTTTTTCCTGTTGCGTATCTCACCATGAGGTCTCTGGCCGTAGGCCCATCGTCCTTCAGAATGTAGTATCAGGAAAGAATCATTCAAACAAATGAGGCTTCACATCAGAAATCACATGAGATATGCATGAATGTTAGGGTTGTGTACCATGTTTTTAGAAATGCAAAGCTAGCTTGTACAATCTCTTCCTCCTCAAAAACTCAACATGTAACCAGCCAGACACTGACGTTTAAAATTGTGAGGTTAGTGAAACTAAATGCATACACGCCACAGGGATTACAAATAGGTAACAGCAGAGCAACAGAAGGAAAACATCAGATACACTATTAATCCTAATGACGCAACAATAGCATATTCCTCAAAAACGACCAGGTCACAAGTGACACATTTTAAGAGAATCTGGATAAACAGCAAATATGCTGACAGCTGGTACTCTAAAGGAAAAAGATTTCAGAGGATTTGTTCAAAAGAGAAGTTTTAAGCATTCAGGCACTTGTCTGACCTTCATTACTTCAACATCCATGCACATAGTGAGTTTATCCTCATAACGCCTCATAATGTATGGTAGGGACATGCTAGCTTTGTGAAATGGCTATGTTTCAATTCGGTTTTGGATTTGGATGTTTCAGAGGGACGGTGATTCGTTTTGGTGTTTCGGATTGCTGCTCCGTTTCAATTCGGACGACTCCGTTTTGGAGTTTCAATGCTGTTTCAGTAATTCGGCCATAGGCTATAATGGGGAATCACTAAAATCCCTCTAACTTTGTAATTTCTTGCCTGATTCGGATGAAAATGGCAGAGATGGTAGCCCCTGCTGAGGGCATGAAGTCTGCCAAGTTTAAAGGAGACAGGTGCAGGGATTTCTGTGAAACTGCACCTCAAACTGTTCAAAGTAAAACTCGTATCACTTTCTGGCAGCAGCAGCATGCTGTCATCCTGCACACAGTTCCAGAGGCCCATGCCCCCCGGGAGGGCTGTGCTAGACTGCTCCTAGAGGACGTAGGCCCCTGGATCTGCGTGTGGGATGACAGCAGGCTGCTGTTGCCAGCTGGAGCCAGTGCCAGCATTGGGTTCTTGCTGGTGTTCAGCATGCGCTGCACCGAGCAGACTTGGGTGCTGGCGCTGACCCCAGCCAGCAGCATGCTGTCATCCCGCACACAGATCCAGGGGCCCACACCCTCTGGGAGGGCTGTGGGGCTGTGCCAAACTTCTCTTGGGGGGTGCAGGCCCCTGGAGCTGCATGCAGGATGACAGCAGGCTGCCGTCCCTCCCCCAGAGCACTGGGATTGGCAGAAACCTCAGGGACAGATTGTAGGCACTGGCCAGCTACAGATGTCAACATCAGAGTGGTCC